AAATAATATAGTGAGCATCAAAATATTAAAATCCTAGCTAGGGTAACTTACTGCCTCCTCCAAAGCCAATGAATCGTTTGAGACTATGGGATTTTCTCGCATTATTTGACGCCGTTTTTGTCTCCGACCCTCCCAAGTACGTTGCTTAACCAAATAGATACGAGACAACTCATTGAGTGTACTATCGAGTCGTGGTCGCTTCTCAAATGGTTCCACAGCTGGTGAGAATGCTAAAATATTGACGAAAATATAATTTACTGCATCCATGCATTGATTCGCTTGATAATCATCAACGTTGATTTTCAGTACACACTCTGCAAATCATAAGTACCTTCAAATGCTGACGATGTAAAATGTCCAATTTTTCAAAGAAATATGGCAACTAGTATATATATTAAGCATTTCCTAAAACCTTGCGGTGATATTCGAAATATGGGGCCATAAGTATCCAGCCAATGGTTGATCATATTAAATGATATACATTACAAGTATACAGCACAGAAAAGTAAAACTAAAAGGTAAACCTAAAGACGATTTCGTTCCAGCATCAGTACTACATGCTTCTTGCAACATGGCTAAGAATGAGTCAGGAACTATTTTCATACGCGACAATGCAAACATCATCTTGCGACGCATTGCACCGATGCATTTCTCAGAAACCAATATGGAAACATTATGCGACCATTCCAATGGATCCTATAACAATTCACAGTAAATTATTTCAAATCGAAGTGGAAATCTCGTATCATACTATTTAATTACGGTATGCTTTCACCACTACACAAAACTGCAAAATTTTCATGCAAATTAAGGGAAGTTTTTGCCTGTATATTCAAATGTGCAAGTTTGAAAGCGTCCTGAATGCTGCTGTCTGGATACAGCTGTTGGAACTGATCGAATGAAACTGCATTACCTACATAGGGACACAGTATGGTGTCTTTCAACTTCAGCTGAATGAACCAAATAAAAAAATCCTGTAAGAGAATAATCATAGCAAGCTAATTGTAAAAAAATGCCATAAAAAATTTCTTACTTTTTTGAAGCAATCAATTTTCAAGGACTCCGGTTTACATCAAACGGTAAGAAATAGTAACCTTAAACAATTTGTCAAGTGTCAGACAGGATAAATCCACATCAACAACAATAAAATCAATCCTCCACCCGTTTACAATCACTTCTTTTTCAGCACGTTGAAGAGGTGGTATATAATTGCACAATTGCAAATATGTTACGCACAGCAAGTTCAATATGTAGGCGTTGAAATGTGAATGCTAGAAAGTTTTATATTAATGATATTTTTTCGCAAAGCGTTTCGATCAACAGTGTTTTGTAAAGAAAAAATTTTCATCCATAGAATGAAGTATAGAAGAAAATAAAAGGAAAAAATATAGGAAGGAAACAAAAAATAAGGTTTTTCGTTTCAAACTATCACTTTGACAAATACCAATTCTGAACTTACCACAGAAAAGTCCGTCAAAGGGGTATAACATTACTTCACTAAATAAGTTAGTGAAACACAGTAATCCTAGTAGAAACAAACGAAAGTTAAAAAAAGCTCACAAGTCTTAAAAATAATCTACCAAATTACATACAAAATTTGGAAATACCTGCTTTTCATCAGTCTTCAACAACTCATTTGTGTGAACCCAAAATCTGAAGGATACAAGAAATTTTCGAATAAGTTGTGAAGAATCACAATGTGCGACACTTTTCAGCCAACTAGATTTTGCGCAGCCAAGATAATTATCCACAGATAAGTCCACAATATGCTTCCTGAAGATGCCGTATTTGCTCTCCAAATTAAAGACGGTTTTGAAATATCTACTAAACAATTCTATATTTTCTTCGTAAGTGGAAAATTTGTTTTAATTATATTCAAATATTGGACCAATAAAATTACTGCATATTTAGAGATCTGATTCTACAACATACCGATTAACAGTAAGTCGTACAAGTGGACAACGAGCATCCAAGATTGGGTATTGATCACTGACAGGTGCTGTACCACGCTTTCGTATGTCGTTCATTATTTTATTCAGCAAACGAACACGATCTTAAGGTTTTGTTAGTTAATCAGTTCAGTGAAATAAAATTCCTAGCCTGGATTAAACTTGAGGAAATAAAAAAATGTCACAATTATTAAAACGTATTTGTCGCTCTATAATAAAACTATAACCCCTCTTAATGAATATCGCAGATGAGCAATATATAACTATCGCGCAAAGTGTGCTTTCATAAATGGCACATTAAAAAGTAAGCAAAACCCATAAGCACTTGAAATTTTTTAATAATATTAAGGCCAAATACTTCAAAATGATCAAAGAGTAATGAGTCTTGAAAAAGATGTCCATAGCATGAGGAACAACAGATCTCATTTATATTTTCGGTATTATCTGAATCTGATGAAATGAAAGCATATAAACTAACCAGCCTCGGTGAGCCTAGAATATTCTTCAGCACAAATTTTACGTCCTCTTAATGCAGTAACATCGCATGTCATTAATGTATATTTATTCCTCACTAAATCTCCCGCACAATGTGCTTTCGTAAGTGATATATTGAAAAATAAACTTGCATCCTAAAAAACCCGATTTTCAAATTATGTTACTTTAAATTTTTAGATATCTCTGGTTCTTCAATCTACTTTCATAGTAAAATACATTAAATTATCTAAAGCTTTTTGCAATGAAATGTCAAAATTTTTTAAAACCCTATTTTCCGGAAATCAAGTATTAATAATCAGTGTATTTTGAAACGAATGTAGGACATACAATGTCAGAACCCTTTGTACCAAGAGATGTTGATGAAGAGCCAAAAATTCGGACATGAACATCTGACGAAAAGTAATCACTAAGTGCCACTGTAAGCGTATGGGTACATTTGATTCGTTCTGCGATCTGAAAAAGCTTTTTGCATATTTGATTTTCTAAACTTAATCTGACCAAAATACGAGTAATAAAAAAGATTATGTCTATATTTCCACCCAAGTTTTTGTTTCCATATACATGCTTTTGATTTATGACGAGGGTCAAATATTCCAAGGAAGGCATAAATAGTATAATAACACTGCACTTATTTCAAATAAAGAATAAATTTTATGAGCATACCTCGACATCACTAAGACAATACAGCTCCAATAAATTGTCCACTTGCCCAGCAAATGTGGCTAAGCCATTAATTTCATTAATAAGTTTATTAGTGTCGATCGCATATATCTTTGACTTTGTCTTACATTGGTCGAAATTTATTTTTCGTGCTCGTATAGGTACGACTTGCTGGATTTTCAATGATAACTTATATGCAGCAAAAAATGTATTTGAAACAAAAAACAACAAAATATAAACTAACATGCAGCCAAAAAAACAGTAGAACGATTTCATAAAAATTCATTTAAACCTCAGCTTTCAAGTTAGTTTCTGAATATCGTGGTTTCCTTCTGCAGCTAAGGATAAAGGAAAGATTAAAGAAAAATCAAGCAGAAAATATCGTAGTGAAACTTACATGCCCAATATGGATTTTATCTTCAAAAACAGCTTTATGAGCCGAAAATTCCTGATCAAATTCTACGATCACATATTTGCCTCTTCTAATATCTAAATGAATTTTTTCTACTTTCCCAAAACAGCTGAGAGCCTCTGAAATCTGAAAGGAATTTTAGTTAAAAAACACGAATTCGGAATCAGGTTTGAGTGAATATTAAATACAATGCTTGTGAACCGATCCTTTACAAAAGGAAGCAAAAATCTGAAAGATGAATAGTTTTCAAAACAACTGCATCCACATTAAGCAAACAAAAAAGCATGCAATCTCCAGACTTATTTTAATCATTTCTGTGTAATATTCAAGTAATACCAACACAAAGCAGCTAAACAAAACCTCGTCTTCGGTGATGACGATTTCAGGATTTAATCCAGAAATAAATACCGACCGAGCGGCTAAGGCCTGTAACGCATCACGCTCTACAACCTTTCTGTGGTGACGTTTGCCATTATTGTGCATATGTAGCAATGCTTCTGACGACAGATGCACCTTACACAGATCGCACCACTGCACCCCTGACATTTTCGAAATATCATTCGTTGACTTTATAAAAGAATGTCCTAAAATAATAGAAATCGAATTTATTTGGATATTTTCTATATCTTTTCTACCGAATCTACCGAATTTAATCGATATATACCGTTAAGTACTTTGCACTTCAACATTATCGAGGTTTAAATACTAGAGCTTAATTTTTACAAGTCTTCCCAATACCTCCATCAATCTTTTAATTGATCTGTGACTTTGAAATAAGGCATAATATTCGAATTCACAATAACGCTTTACAAACTGACAGGAAGATCGCGCTCGAATTATGATCAAAACACAAATTTATAAAAGATCAATCACAAGCTTGAACAATGACTGAATACTTCCTTCTACACCATAATCAAAGTGATAAAAAAAAAATATCCACTTAACCAAATATAAACAGCAGTAACATCGAGAACATTGCAAATGAAAGCTTTTCACACATTTACACTATAACGAAGTTAACAAAGCTAATGTATTGATGACTAATTTTAAAATGCTTGTAAATTATCTATGATATCAACTGGACATAAACAAATATGATAAGAAAATGTAGAAATTTAGAATGAAAAAATAAAATCTGTAACTAACATGCCATCAAAAATTTTAAATTTTAACATACTGGCTTAATTTGTCGTTCCTATTCCGCATCTGAAGAACGCCAAAAATTGGATAAGTTTCTGGCATTAAGTTTAATAGAAACAGCATAGCAAAATTGATAGAATGGAAGAACATTGTTAGCACTACCAAATTTGTCATGAAATCATTAAAAAAAGAAAAAAAAAACTGGAAATGAACAATGTATCGGTGACAAACAACGATTTTTATAAAAGTATATGAATGTTTAGAGATACCATGGCTTATGCGGCATAGCTTATACAAACATACAGAACTTTAAAAAAGGAATTAAGAACTGCCATTAGGCTATCTTATTTGTTATGGTCACCGAAATCAACCCAATCACCTCGTTTCTTTTTATATTCGCAGTAGTCTTCCCACCTTCTTTGCATTACATTTTTTCCTGTTCGACGAAATTCTGCTCGCTCTTTAATATATTCATCAGTGATTTTTTGACGGAACCATGGATCATTGAACCTACAAAGTTGCAGACTTCAGAAAAAAAAATTCAAGAATATAAAATAGGTACAGAGTTACGTACATGCGCAACACATACAAAGTTAATCTTATAGTAAAACCATGTACTTGAAGTAAAATAAGAATCGAACTTTTCAAATATATACGGTTATCGATAGTATCCTAAAACTACTCCCAGTTCAACAAACGATCCAATACATTGCAAGTTCGTACTGCATACAATTCGAAAAAAACTGCATAAAACTTAATTCGCAAGTTGACATGTTTCGTAGCGCTCTAGCTCTATCCGGCATTTTCTCATACCAATAAAACTGCCTTCTTTTTTTATGCATCGCACCAGATCTAGAAGCTTTCAACAAAATTTAAAAGAAGTCTAGGTATAATATAACCTGTAAGTGCACACGACTATATATTTCCAAAGTACTCTTCAGTTAATTGCACAATCAAATGCCTGGAGGTGACAAAAAAATCACTGCAGTTTATTGCAAAAACACAAAGGAATCCAACCTTCAAGTGACTCGCGACATTCAACTTTTTGTACCTGTTCATTCATGCGATTCGGTATTAAAACATCTGCTTCCAGTCGACGTAACGATCGGTCATTCGGATCTCCTGAAATAAAACATCAAAATAAGAGGAGAATTTCTTTGACGAGTTATTTGCATAAAGTTTTTAAAACTTCGGAAAGCATTTCATTGGTAATAAGGTCTGCTATATGTGTCAAAATAGACAACAGTGTTTGGTAATCTGAATATTCTTCAAATGAAGTAGCAAACGGCTAATACCATTCGATGCAAGTAAAGGTGACATACAAACCAACTCCATGTGGTCCTCCGATAGACTGCTGTGGTAAAGCAGTTTTCCGCACTCGGAACTTCTGACCACTTTCGGAATCTACGAAAATGTCGCCCTCTCTCAAATGATGTAAGTCATCCGTCTTTATCGGTCCATCTGCAGCGCATTCCGTTTTCATATTAAAAATGTTGTTCTCACCTCTACAAATGGCTATTAGTCACAATTTACGACAATCCAACTAATAAGATTAATGAAGAAAAAAAACTGAATGCCCATCACGTATTACTCTCACTTCACTTTCAAATGTGTTCATGTATCTCATTTTAACACAATATGTACTCTCTTAATCTTTTACGTATTCTTTCAGAACAACTTAGAGAGGTAATCCATTTTCTAACAGAAGACTAGTTTTGTAAAAGAACTATTAAATTTTCAGATTTCAGCCAAGTTTTATGTGATAAGCAGCCAGACTATTGGACTAGTCATGAGCAACTCTTTGTTAGCTGCATTTAACATATATTAATATTTAGTATGTAGAATTCGTATGTGACTTCTTACTGAATTTTGCTGACCTCAGTCACTCAAAAAAAAAACTCATAATGTGCTCATAACTGGAGTGAAAACTTATAACTTATATTAACTTTATTTTTTAACTTACAACATAATCCTTTAATAGTCTGATTAATAATCATTACTAGAAAGGAATTAAGGTTAAATGAACTATGAAATCAATTTTTTTTGCAGTCCAAGCCTCACTCAGTATAATAAGCAAAACACCCACTCACAGAACGTCTCCCCCCTTACTACACATCCCTTTGTCCATCCCCCAAAAGTAAACTTAACTCTCACCAGAAAAACAATTCCAAAGATCATGTAAACCATGAAATACACATGAGCACATTTCACAGAACATGCAAACAGATTGGTTCATTTTGGAGGCAGAGGGATTTGCAGTTTGCATGGTTGTTGTAGGACTCTGCCCGGGTCAAAGGTCATGAATTGTATTGTTGAATGTTGAGAGCACCTTGGCAAGGATAAAAATACCCTATGATGGATGGATTATCGAATTAGTTGTCACTTTTGTTCCGTCTTTTTCTGTGACCGCAAAACACTTCCCTACTCAAGAGTGGAACCTTTCCATGCTCTTTTCGTGATCTTTTTGTGGTCCTTTCACTCGTGGCTTTTGAAGTCGGAACAACGAAGTAGTGGTGTGAGATAGGGTAGATTGGACTTAACATTTACCTGGCGGTTTATGGATAGGGAAGCACAAGTTTTTCTTTAATCAAAGCATTTTAGTTTGAGGGAAGTAAGACTTAAGTCCACGGAAATTCAACTTTGCTTGTGCTTCTTGAGTTAAATGTGGAAAATATTGACTAAATCCAGCCAAGATTTCGCAACTAAACTAGACTGATTAGACTTTACCGTTATCTAGGAGTACAATAGCTGTGTTGATTCACAAGATATCCAAGGTTTGGAAGTTAAATTTGCATAATGACTTTGAGAGAAGATACTGTAAGCAAAGAAGGATGGGTGCGGTGGGTGTTGTTGCTTTAATGACTGTATTGGAGATTTTTTTCCAAGATTTGGTCATCGTCATCATTTCTTTCATCAACATGGATTGTTGAAGTGGAAATGGATCAAAAACTTTTTTAGAAACTCATTCAAATCAGTATCTTCTATTTCACCTACCTGTACATCTTATTCATTTTCTTTCCTTCTGTATATTGCATTCAGTAATAACTGTGTCCTTAATAATACATTCATGCATGCACACAACCGCATGTGCGAAAAAACATGTTTTTTTTAGTGACTTTTGCATGTAGCACGTGAAGTGTATCGTCTAAATTGGCAAATAGAGTCGTAATACTGGTTTGCAAATTTAGTGATAGAGAACACAGTGTTATTCTTACATCATTTAAGAAGGAAAATATGATATTAACGCTGGAAAATTTCCAAGCGAAGGCATAAGGCCAGTTTAATTTTGAGAAAAAAAATTGGAAAGTGAAAAAGAGGACTCTGCATATTGACGTTTCAGTGACTTCCCGTTTAATTTCTAGTTGAGCAGATGAAGTTGCAGTCAGATCAAGCATTATTATGGAGTCACTTTATGACAAATCGAACTGCTAATGAGTAATATTTTCTTGTTGCTACTATTAATAGCTATCCGATGGTAAACACTGTCACTACGGAACTATTTAGTATTTTTATGCAAATAGTTCTTCGCTGTTTGCTTCACTCGAAATAATTAGAAGTCAGTTGTGAGATTAATTCAGTTTTATGATCCATTCAGTTTTCCTTTCTATTCCTACATCGAAATTCTGGAAATTTTTAGATTATTTGCGTGACACTGATATTTTACTCACTGAACAGCCCAATGACAAATGAAAAGAGAGGCAGGGAGAGAGAGAGAAACAAAATACTTTATTGTTATTAGTTTTCATTGTCTAAAAATGTTATGGCAATATAAATAATGGGTAGAGAAGAAAAAAGATTTTAAAGAAACAGGAATTGGTTGTACAATGAAGTTTTCTAAAAAGCTATTTTCCCGCTTTTGCCTGATCTGTGGTCATTTTTAAAAGTTTCTACCACTCTGAAAACTATGTTTGTACTGTTCTAATCAGCTTTTTCCCTTTTCATCTTCGATGGTTTCTTCCTTTATTCTTTCTTTGCAAGACTTCTTTTTTCGTTTTAATCAAAAAGACGTCACTCTGTTTTAAGCATGGAATAAAAATTTCGGTTTTCAGAAAATCCGGTAGTAAGGGAATGCAGATCTGGATATGGAGTTTCTATAGCGTTTTTTGTATTACCTGCTACTTCCTACTCCCATTTTGCCAGTCACAAAAGCAAGAAATAAAAGTGAGTAATTTTTAATACAATTTACAAACTTAGTCATAGTTGTTATATTTCATACACGAATGTCCTTAAAGAAATAAATCCTTTCATCACTAATACAATTCGCCTCACAGTCAGTCTCTAACATGATTGTTTTTGTGCAGGACGTATGGTCCGTTCTGTTAGAGACATTCCTTTGGTATTTGATGAAATTTGGTATTGGTGAAACTCGAAAAAAAAAAACTGAGGTACAAAGATTTGTTAGAATCGCTTTGGCTGAAAGATTTTTGTAATAGCAGAAATTCCCTGTTTTCAACTTTTTATTAGAGACTAAAATTTTGATTTCGAAATTGTTGCTAATGTTTAATTTTGTCAAACCTGTAGAAAAACCAGTTATAGTTGTATAATGAACTGAGCCTTAATTTAATTGCAGCCAACAGGTGATAGTAGCTTCACCGAAAAGAAGGCACATCTGGTTGGAATCAGAGTTGAAGGACTACCATCCGAGGATAACGGCTTTGTTGGTTATAAGTAAGTTGCATAATGTTCAGCATATTGTGACATATTTGCACTCGCATTTACATGTTTTTTCTCAGTAAAAATTACATAATTCGCCAGTTGGACAGAACAATATCATTACCTTCCGAAAAAGATTTTTAGAGATAACTTGATTATAGTTAGATTTTACTGGGACTGTTTATAAATTCTATATGTAAATCACAAATCGAAAAATAAAATATATATAAACTTATGAAATTAAAAAATATATAAACTAAATTAGCAATTCACTGTATTATGTTTTAGCGGAATGGAGTCCCAAAATTGAAGTTTGAAATATCTGGTGATCTTTATATCCTTCTTTCAAATAAAAAATGATTTGATTTATTAGGATTTTACTTCTTGTACAACGGTACATTACATTTTAAAGAAATGAAATAACGTTTAACACATTGAGATGTAGTGATCATTAAAACTTGTTCATTAAAAAGCCGTAGCCTATATCGCTGACATCTGCAAGTTTTGTTATTATTGCAAGTATATTTTGACCTTTGATGTCATTGAATCAGTTCAGTAATCAGCATTTGTGCTTTGTTTTCTCCTTATAAAAAGCATGAAAAGGTTTCTCATACAGCTGTTTCAATGAGTAAGGAAAAATATTTTTGGGTCGAGTAAGGCAGTGCTGAAATGAGACGTAAAACAACATATGCAGTACGGGGTGCTGAAGTCAAATGGTTTATAGTGATATTGCAGCCGAAAAAACAGAACCAATTATTTGAGTAAAATCATAGGAAATGGTGGCTTGAAATGTGTGAAATATTCTTTTCTCTACTATAGATTTGCGTCACTTTGGCATTTAATCTGTAAACTAGTTTTGTTAATTATGCGACCATATTGTATCCAAAAGTTTTTGGGAATTCTTCAGCTATAGAAATCCTTGTTGACACTGCACAAATGATGGCGGTATATTCTAGATCTCTTAATTCACAAATAAATAATGTATTACGGAATTACAGTGATAAAGAAGTATCGATAGTACAACCGGATGTTCCAGTTCGAGTGGTACTTTTTGGTCTCGGTATGGATGATATAGCACTGGTTGTTTTTACTCGGCTCGGAAATAACTGTTCAATGTCCGATATTGAGATCACACAACCCGATTTTACCATCCATACAAAAGAACGTGTGGTCGTTAAGGCATCATTCCCTGAGTTTGTTCCAGTTTTCTCTATTATTTTGTTCCCTGTTTCTTTTCATAGTTTTCTGTAGATTTCCTTTATTTTTAATTTGCAGTTCGGCAGACCTCTATCAAATATGCGTTAAACAGAAGCCAAAGGAAAATGCACAGGGTAAAGAAACTGAGCAGGATTTTTCAGTGGTTAGTTCTCCTCGCAGACTAAGTTAAAACACTGATGAAAATGCATTGTTTAAGATGGAAATGATTCATTTAGTTGGATGACATTTGTTTAGATTATTTCCTATGCTGTTAAATACAGTTTGTGATAATGTAATGTTCAGTAAAGCATTCGATGACTTTTTCTATGTCAGTGTTCGAGGGAATATCTGTCGCATTAAATTAAGTCCAGTACCGCTGCTGAATGAATCAGTAGTTTTTCTTTCTAAATATTAACTGTACCAATGAGAATGTGCTAACATGTTGAGATTAAGAATGATATAATACTGACATAAATCATCGCAGCCCTAATGAAAAGCAGAATTTGCGAGCATCGACTCTGTGGGAATATTTTTATAGAGTATCTATGTCTATCTGATTTTAAAAAAATTTCGACTTTAGCTAGATGATTTGCGAGCTATGATATCGACTGAAATACCACCACGCCAATATTA